GTTCCGGAGACTCTTAAAGCAAGTCCAGCGGCGGTACTGGGGAAGGAGTCGGTTTGGCGGCACCAGGATCGTGCCTTGAAAGCCCCCCTGGCCCCCCAACAGGGGCTCAACCCCCTCCCGCCTGACTCACAGCCGCAAAGGGCCACGCCGTCCAGCCCGCGTGACCCGGGCAGGTGTGGAAGAGCTGCGTTAGGCTGTCCCCACAGATTCCATCCTAGTCTGGCTGAGATAGGGGTTCCCTCGCTCACTTCCCGGCCAAGGCCACATGGCCAAGACGCCTGTGGGAACTGGGGTAGAGAGGGCTGCCTTAAGGGAGTCGGAAAGAACCAGGAGGCAGTAGGGGGGGCTGCTGTAGGGGGGGCATTGGTTGGAACCCTAGCCACACCAGGCTTGGGTGGGAGAAGGGCGGAGTCTGAGTCACAAGCGTGAGCCAGGTTCTCTCTTTGGCCAAAGGCTGGGGATGGTGGGTACCCAGGTTCCAGCCAAGGCTTGTACCTGGAGATGAAAGAGCAGCAGCCCTGTCTTAGGGTCACCTCCCCTCTCTGAGCACTCTCCTCTTTTCTTCATCCCTTGAGCAAAATTGTCCTTTGAATCATGATTGCCGACCTACTCCACCCCCAGATGGAGATAAGAGGTAGACCTAGGGAGTTGCCTGTGGGGTAAGTCTTGTTCCAGAGTCCGGCCTTTCTCCTTTCTGAAATTCTCATACCCAGGAGGGTGAGCTTGGGAATCTGCTGTAGAGGGTCAGGTGTGAGGATGGGATGAGAAACGGATGGGAGGGTTTCATGAAAACGAACACAATCCCTGCCCCATTGTGAAAAGCTGTATGTCACTTCAGTAAGCAATGAGGGACAGGGATGCTTGTTCTGGGCCAGGAGGGAAGGGGAGCAGGTAATACAGTGGCTGACATATGGTTCAAAGTCAAGACAGCTGGGTGTTAGTTTTGGTCACTAGTAAGCTGTGAGATCCTAGTGATCCTTTCTGAGCCCCGTTTGCCTCTCTTTAAAAAGAAATTGGGCTAGGGACTCTTTTTGCTCTGAAGCTTGGAATCTATGAGACAGGACACTAACTAGTGCTGACCCATTTCTGCTCACACTGATTTATTCCTGCCGGAGATATTGATGTGGTGGTTACATGTTGGACTGCCAACTGCAGGGCCAACACTTTGAAACCACCTACGGGCCTGTAGGGGAAAGATGAGGCTTTTTACTCCTGTAGAGTTACAGCCTCAGAAACCCACAGGGGCAGTTCTCTTCTCTCCTGTAGGGTCGCTTTGGGTCAGAATTGGCTAGATGGCCATGAGTTTTGTTTTGCCACAAATCTTTATGGGGCACCTGTTCTAAGCAATTCCTTATCCCTCTTGATCTTAGCTTGAGAGTTAGAGGGGAATCAACTGTGGTAGTTACATAAATCTTCATGTCAACTTGAAGACATATAAAAGTGTAGGTGTGGTAGTCAACCTGTCAGTCAGGCCACAGACTGACAGTGACTCCTTGTGGGCGTGGCCTTCTCATAAGGCAGACCCTAGGAACCTCTCCTCTCTCTGCCTTCCCCTCTTCCTGCTGGCTGACCCTGCTGGCTGCCAGAATTCAGTTACTGCCATTGGACCCACAGGACTCTGCACCCACTGGCCTGTGCTCTTGGTGCATTGTGCATCAGTGCACGGGGCTGGAGAGTCTGAGAGGGACTTAGGGACTAGTATCAGATTTACAGACTTGAGCTGGACTGGGCTGAGATGTTCTCTCGAGTGCCTCTGGCTTTGTTTCTCTAGTCAACCCAGACTAACGCACAAACCCTTGACAGGCTGGGGTGAGTTCTACATAAAAAGACAGAGAAGGGATGCTACGAGTCACAAGGAACTCGATGGCAGTGGATTTGGGTTTGGTATGGTAGGAAAGGAGGACTACCCAAGCCACCTGTCACTTTCTCCTGTGCCCTTAGCAAGGAAAGGAGAAAGGAAGAGCCTCATTTTAAGATGATCTGTAGCCTACCTTTAGTCTGTCTACCCCTGTAAATGATCCAGCCCAGCCTTCTCTTCCTCCTGCAGGTTTGGCAAACCGGACTTTGCTGAAGCCCCTGTGGCTAAGGGGACTGGTCACTATTTGGGGAGGTATTCTGCCTTCACAAGTCCTTCTGCGGAGTCCAACATCATTTGGGGATTGGTTATATGCTGGATTCTTCTGGATTGCAATCCCCAGACACACTGCCCTCTCACTTTTGTGCTGTCCCAGGGGCTCAGCATTCCTTGTAGACGCTTCATTCTCTTAGTCTCTTTCAATCTGTCTTTCCAGATGGACAGCGGAGACATGAAGTCGGATGAGAATAAGGCCAAGGTGGCCACCCTAAGAGATGATGCTAATGAAGGCAACTGCTGGAGGCAGTTGCTTCTCATCACATCCCTGAATCTACTCCTATGGGGGTTCTCCCAACCCCCGAGAGGTCCTAGGAACGATGGATGTAGGTAACAGTAGGTCTGCTATCAGCAGCACCCCTTCCTTCCTGGAACTCCTTATTGTCTTCATCTTCATCTGGGACAGTGCTACCTCAGTCTGCTTCTGAGGCTGGAGTTGCCTTGTCAACCATCCCCAGGAGATGGATTCAGGCTCCTCATACCTGGGCCTCTCCCCTGGGTCCTGCAGGAGCTGCAGAGCCTCCCTATCTCCTTCCCATTCCTGAGTTGCTACCCCAAATGCTCTGCTGTTTCTCACCTACCCACACCTGCCTGTTCAGGTGTTCATGCCAATCTAATGGCTTCCTGAGCCCTGTAGTAGCACATGTGTCTGTCAGAATCCATATGGACCCCAAGCCCCATTCTTTCCCACGGTTTGGTTTTAAAGAGAGGGAGTTGAAGGCATATAAGGCTGAAGGTCCAGAGCCCTTGGTGAGAAGACTGCCTGCCTGCCTTTGCTTAGAAAAAGAACTGCTAGCCTCGTGGTGGGCAGGTAGCCAGGCATCTAAACAAAGTCCAAATAATCAGGTCTGTGAGCTGGAGACCCTAGGGGCCTCCAAAATACAGTCTAATATTTCTACATGCACTGGGACGCTAGGGAAATCCCAATCCCCTAGTATTGAGTAGGGAAACTGAGGCAGGAGCTAGACCCTCTGGGAAGGGCTTCCCAGTGGGGTCCAAGGACTGGGCAGAAGACATTAGCCTGCTGACTGCTAGGTAGTCCCCAGGGAATGCAGAGAGGTGCCAGGAGTGCCAGGCAGAGCCCGCCCCTCTCCATCTTGCAGTCAAGCCCCTCTAGGGCTCCTCAGACAGCCCTCCCCACCCCTCCTCGTCTGGAGGTCTAGGATGCCCCCTCTTTTCTTCCATCGTGCCTCCCTCGGCCTGCAGCCTCGCCTCTCTCCTTCCCCTTCCCTGCAATCTCCCCCCAAATGAAGGCCCTCTACCTAGCTTGGAGGAGGGCTCTTTCCCACCCCTGGGGAAGCACCCCCCCCGGCCCCGCCCCCCGCCGAGGTTACCTCGTTTAGCAGGAAGGTTGCACTGGAGTCAGAAAAAGACATAGACCGGGCTTGCGGCCCTTCCCCGGGCCGGGGCTCCGAGGCGGGAGCAGGACCCGGCGGCTCCGCACACTGGCTCCCTCCTGCACGCTCGGCCTCGCCCCGCGCCTGCCCGCCCGCCAGGGCTCTGCTGCCGCCTCTTCCCTCCTCTCACCCGGTCCCCTCCCCTCTCCCCTCCCTCCTTCCTCCCTCCTCCCGCTCGCTCGCCTGCCTTCCCGGCGCCCTCAGTCCGCCTCTCACTCGCTGCCTTCCAGTCCTGCCTTTCTGCCCCTCCGTCTCGGCTCGGACTCTCACCCGCCCCCATCCCCGCTTATCTGGGTACCTCCCACTGTCCTCCCAGCCCCCCCCCTTTCTCCCTCCTCCTCCGCTTCTTCCTCAACTCTCTTCCTAGAAAGGGTTGGGGTTTGGGAGCACCCACTGCAGCAGGCACCTGGGCTCACGCACGGCCCCCTACCTCCCCCCATCTTGTGGCCGCCAAGAAGGCGCGAGACCTGAGCGCAGGAGGAAGGAACCCAGACCCGAGGCTCGTGGCTCCTGCGGGAGGGATCCGAGCGTCCAGGGAAGTGCTCTGCTGGTCTGCCCCCCTCCCCCGGTGCTCGCGTCCTGCAGCGCCCCTGGATTCCACTGCCCCCCCCCCCACGCCGGTCTCGCGCTCACCGGCAGGGGTGTGGCTCTGCCGGCAGGAGGCGCTTCCGGGCCGCCGTCGCTTAGGACGAACCCCTCTCCCGAGGAGCGGAAGTCCAACTCCCCAATAGCTGTCACAGCCTGCACTCT